GGCCCGGGATTCAGTGAGTGGCAGAGGCTGGGAGCGCTGCCTGCTCCCGGGCCGTGGGGCTCCCGGGCGCTCTCCCCGGGCCGGCCCCTGTGGGATTTGGGTGGGGTCTTTGGTTCTGGCGGCACCAGGTTCGTACCGCGGTCATCTCCTGGCGGGTGCGGTGGGCTCCCCTCCCCTCGGGTTCCCTCGGTTTGTGCTGCTTCGCCTCCCCGGGCGGGCACTGGACGGGCGGGAACCCACGGTGTGACAACGCGCTTTCCTAGTGCTTTTTAAAGGGACACGAGAATGCCATTTGAAAATGCTGACTAGATTATTTATTTGTTAGTACTGTAGTGCTAACAGACGACATGAAGGAATACATATATTTATTCCAGTATACATATTGGTAAAATGTGGGGTTAGACGTATGAGGCTTGCAACATTTTGCATCCATTTCTGTGCTTAGCTGTGCTATGCAAACACTTGCAAGTATTCTTTATTTTGAATTAGCACATGGTCATATTCCTAGTGCTTAATCTTGTATCCTTATTGTCAATCTTACTGTAAAAGCATTTATAGTTGCCTCATTTGTTGTAGGACTGCTTGTACATTTTCTTTCCTGACTTGACTTTGCTTAAAACCAGTACAATTAACTTCTTCTTCACCTAACTCTTTCACACAGTTTTTCTTACCTTGTTCTAAAACTCTGTGAAGTACTAAACTTACAGGGTTTCCACCTTTTGTTGTTGACCTTCTTGTTTGTATTTAAGTTACATAGCAAAACTTCTTGTAGCATTTTTTGTCTTTAAATGATCCACCAATTTATTAGCAGTGTAATAGTTTTGAGAAAAAAAGTTATAACATACGTGTTTTATAGTTTTCTTTGACCACCACACTTGTACTTACATTGTCTTATAATTTATGGTAATCCTACTAAATGTTTTAATAAATCTTTACTTTGAACTATATAATTGTCTATAGAAGGTTATATAGCTTACATACTGTTAAGTTATAGGATGCCAGCATTTAGATGTTGAAGTGAAAAGTGAAAGAGAAATATTATCTTGCTGCTTTTCTTGCTGTTTTCAGTCATGAATGGCTAAGGTTTCTTCCAAAGTAGTTCCTTCAAAGAGCATCAGACCTACCTTAAAGATGGATGCTGTCATCATGTCATGGTTCTATCTGTTTTAAATCAATCATTTTAGTACTGAGAATGTGTTATGTGAAAGAAAAATAGAAATAGGAATGTGGGGGTTTTTTGTTTATCATTGACTTTTCAGGTTTCTGGTAAGCTGTTTTTGCTAAGTTAGTGTAATTTCTTTGTAGATAGCTTCTGGAAAGAAAAGCTGCAATCTTAAAAACCAAACCAAAAAAAAAACCAGAAAAAAATCCAAATAGATCAAATCAAAACAAAGGCCAAACAGTGACGTGATTTCTGTTGATCAGTGTTTCAGCCATGTCTGACAAAAGTGAGCTGAAGGCGGAGTTGGAGCGCAAGAAGCAACGATTGGCTCAGATCAGAGAGGAGAAGAAGAGAAAGGAGGAAGAAAGAAAGAAGAAGGAAGTAAGAAATCGTTTTTACTTTGAAGATTGACTTGCCTATGTAACTTGACAAATTCACTTGCATATGTAACTTGCCCAGAATTTAAGAGTAGGTTCACATAATCATTTTCTATGTCCTAGTCAGGGAGTGTCTATTTAATGGTTTATGCTAATATAAATGTAGCACTTTCATTTTCTGATAATGTAAACACCTACTGTTTTCTTTTCAACTGTCCATATGATAAGCTGAATTAAAAAAAAAAAAAATTAGTATCTTAGACTAGCATAAAGTTCAGATTTCTAGAACTATCTGTGTGCATGTGACATAATTAATCAAATCACTCTGATCCATTGCATGAAAGCTCTGCTTAATGAGTTGTGATTTGTGTTATTTAAAAAACTCATTTCTGAAGTACAATTCTGAGGATGTCTGTAGGAATTATCTGTCAGTATTATCATTGTACAAACAATGTGCTGTGTTCTTCTGCTCTTTGGCCTATCTATAGGCTGAATTTTAAAATTAGAGCAATGCTCAGGATATATGTGGTACTTGTGTGTTACGTTTAGTTTGTTAATAGTCTTCTGGATTTCTCACTGCTGAAGTATATGACAATCAGAGATAGATTACTGTTTCTCCTGAATGCAAATTGTATCTCCTAAAAGCAACTTTTGGTCCTATGTTTTGGGATATTTTCTTATTGCTTCTCTGTGTTTTGGTTATGATCTAGCTGGTGTTCTGAATCAGCATATGACGGGAGACTGGGCAGCTGCCAACGACATGATTCAGACAAAAAGGAGAAAAAAATAGCTCAAATTATGTACTAATGATCTTGTAGCAGTGTATTGCCAGAATTGCTTTTTAAAAAGCAGCTAAGAGTAGAAACATACAGAGTATGCAGCATCTTTTTTAATAGACCTTGCACTATTTCTAAATGAAAGAGGGTGGAGGTGTACTTTTTTTTTGTATCTAGCAGACAACTAAAAGAAAGTTACTTTTCCTTGATACAGTTATTGTCATTTTAAAATAGGAACCATATGACTGTCTCTAAAAAAAGATAATCTTATGAAGTGCTAGTCATTTTGGTAAATATGCAGACACTTTTTGCATGTTTATATATGTACTTTAGTGACAGTACCAAAGCTTTGGAACATTGTTATTCCTGTCTGTTTACTTCATCTACAAAAAAGAACCATCAGAATTATTGAAATTGAATATCAAACCTACTTGATGATAGGTTTCAGTTTTACAAAAAAACCCTGTGAGGTCTCAAAATAAATGAAAGATTAAGTGCTATAACTTAAATAATTTTTAGACTGACCAGAAGAAAGAAGCTCTTCCAGTACAAGAAGAATCTGATCTTGAAAAGAAGAGAAGAGAAGCTGAAGCATTACTTCAGAGCATGGGGTTGACACCTGAGTCTCCTGTTGGTAGGAATGTTACTATTTGAAATAAATGTTTGGGAGTTTTTTATTTAATCTTTTTTTGGGGGGGTTTTGGGGCTTTGTGTTGGTTTTTTGGTTTTTTTTGGGGGGGGGGGTGGTTTGTTTGGTTTTCTTAGGATTGAGTTATGTCATTAACATAATAATTCTCTGGCCACTTTTTCGGGGGTGAAACATGTCTAGGTTTTATACTCTTTTGTCCTTCATGGTCTGTTACAAATGTCAAATTATGTGCTTCAATACACATTACATAACATAATATTTATATTATAAAATAACACCATTTACACTTAGTGGATTATTTGAAGTATATTAGTTAAAATATGTAAGTATCATGTATGCATTTTCTTCCCCCCCCCATTTTTTTTATTGTTTTATTATCCTGTAATTTTTTTTTTCATACTCTTTTCCACAATGCTAAGTTTTAATGCTGCTAATTTCGTAAGGAGTTGGCTTGTTTCTTTTCCACATCTTTTACACCCTAATTTTTCTTATCTCAAATACCTGACTGAGTCTGATGGAGCAATAGCAACACTAAGTATAAAAATTAGCTTCCAAGGAAGATGATCGGTATCCGTGCAGCTCTTGGCTGTGTTAGCATCTTGGCTCTTGCTATTTGCCTTTACTTAGGCACATCTCTATGGAAGATGAAAGCAAGAAACATGATAATGCAACTGTGTCTTTTGTCTCCAGCTCTGAAATCAAAGAGATTTAAAACTTATCAGTTTGGCTTCTTGGTGGGGCTCTATTTAACTGTTTTTTAAATAAAAAAGTAATAATAATTTCTTACAGATATATCTGTGATTGTGTTTTCATAATTGCTTTTGTGTAACCCTCAAGTGTTTGGAAGTGAACACCATTATAGCTGCTCACATTCCAGCAGCCCCAGCAGTCAATTTTGGTAATTCAAACTGTTTTAATAGTTGAGAGACTCTGTTTCCCTGTGTTAGCACCAGTGTGCAGCTGTTTAAGTGACCTGCTATGGATTTTCTTGGCTAGATTAGTTGAACTAGTTGAACACCTCCCTTGCATGATATTGTGCTAAGCAGCTGATGAACTTTTTGTAGGAATGTATGTGGTTGTTGCTTTTTTTCACATCTAGCAGAGAATGTAAAAACCGTAGAAGAGGCAGTCCTCAAAGCAAGTTAATGTGTATACTTGGAGTAGGTGTTCATGAAAAGCTCAGAGGTGCTGACATGCAAAAGTGGAGCACAACCATGCATGTTGTGTTTAATTCCACTGAGCTGCTACTTAATCACACCCTTCAGTGTATGCAGGGAATTGAATCTGTTTTCTTTCAAGATAACCAGATCTGATATGGATCCTTTATCAAGTTAAAATGTCCTACTTGCTGCCTGCTGTTAGCATGCATAAGGCACAAGCTCCTTTTCTGCTGACTGGATGCTGGCAAATACAGTGATTGCATGCCTGAACTAATGCTAACTTATGGCTGAGCTCTCTGGTGCGCAGCTGAGGTAGCTTGTGCTCACACTGGCAGTGGAGGGCGGTTGTTTGACATTAGATTCTTTCCTAGAAAATTGTGTTAATTCCTGAGGCAATTCCTGTGCTGTTAACTGCTAGAGAGAGAGAGAGAGCACAAGCTCTTATGGGAGAAGAGACTGCATCAGTGTTAGTGCTTTTGTATCTACCATACTTACTATATAAGAAGCCTTAAGTAAGTGAACCAGAATTATTTTCAAAAAGTCATTATTGTTTAATCCTCTGGGGTAGGTGAAATTCCATCTGGTCTTTTTGTAAGACTGTCGGTTTTTCAGTGGGATTCACCTCTTTTTGGGAAGGGTTTCCCGAGAATGGCTTTCCCCGCAAGAGAGCGCTGCAGCACCGGCACTGGGCCCTGCGGGTGGCGCTGGGGCCGTGACATTATTGTGTCCTGAAAACGCACACAGATGGCAAAGGAAAGGCCTGCGGGCAGCTCCTTTGCTGTAGATTGACCAGTACATGGCGAGGATGAGTTGAAGAATTTTTGTATTCTTATGCGCCCCCAGTTATCTGAATCTAAATGTGTGTATGTATGAAATACAACTCAGGACCTATAAAAAAAGGTCTCTCCCGTAGGAGGAATGAAATTTTCATACATTGAAGAATTCAGTGTTACTTTGGTAAAATTAAGGGAGTATTTTTGTCAATCAGAACCATGTCTCTGTTTTGAGATGGGGTAGAAAAATTCTTTAGAATTCATAATATACTTGTGATTTCAAGAAATTCTGTAGAAATTTCACAGAGTTCAGAGTTCTCCCATGCTTAACTGTTGACAGAGTACACAACAGTTTATATAAACTGTTTGTTTATATTTTTTTCAGTTGATTAAAGGCTTTTTTTAAGGATTGCTAAGCAGTGAATGCTTTACATATTGCTGAAAAACGAAGCATATAAAAACCTTCAAAGTACCCCTTGATTCTTGTGTTTAAGTTTCATTAAAAAATGACCATTTCTAAAAAGAAAGGTTGAAAGACATACCAAAGTAGCATTGTATTTTTCTTTGATTGCATGGTATCATTCACTATGTACCACTTCCAGACAGCATGTTACTTTTCAAATGGTAAATGCAGTCTTCATTTACAAGCAGAAAGTGAACTGACACTTAGGAAGTTTAAATATAGTGGTCCTAGACTGTTTATTGTCAAGCAAAAAAAAAAAAAAAGTCATTCTCAAGACCTAATACTAGAAACTTTTTAATACACAAGATTTATGTTGATTTGATTCAAGCTAGAACAAAAATAACAGGATGCTGTATGACACAGCCACTTTTTTAGCCCACAGTTTGGTGATTATATATTTTGAAATAACATTTCCAGTTAAACACATTCGTTGTCAAATCTTTAAGAAAGACTAATATCAGAGCTATGATAACAACTATCTTTTCTATGTTTAAGCAACATAAATCAGTGGAAATTACCCTTTGAAAACCAGTATCATCATTTGTCAAAAGTTCAGTTTAAAAATATTTTTTTCAATTCATTTTCTCTTAAATGTCTTCCCCTCCATGTCTTTTGTATGCTCCAGATGCATAAATGCCAAACAGCTGCATGAAAGTCCAGCATGAATTGTTAACATTGTCTTTTCCCCTCTCTTTCTACTGTTCATTTTCATCCATGTATTTTTTGTTTGCCATCACTTTTTTTTTAATACTTCATTTTTAATTAATTTGAAAACATCCTAAGCTGTGCAACCTCTGCGAGTAGTAACAGCGGATACCTGTCTGTTTCACTATTTAGTCCCTCCTCCTACCTCTCCGTCTTCCAAATCTGTGAGTACGCCAAGCGAGGCTGGGAGCCAGGACTCCGGGGATGGTGCTGTTGGATCTAGGTATGTCACTTTCCTGGTCCTGTTCCTTTTCTCATTACTTGTATTCTGAATAATTAAGCTTGAGAAGAAGTCAAGGTTAACTATTTGATAATAATAATTTGAGGTTATGCTATTGAATCTGTCAAAAGTGACTGTTTTACAGAAATATTTTACTTTAAAATTTGAAATGTGACTAAACTTACTCATTTGAAGTTGCCAACATTAATGTGGAGTTGTTTAAACGTGCAAGTTTGAAGTAAAATGAGTGTCTTGGGACAACAACAAGCTCAAAGGGTCTAACTTCTACGCTCTTCCCCACTTTTTCTAGAGGAGGATGGGTATGGATTGCTATTTGCTTTTTCCCATACCTAGTTGATCTAATAAAAGATACAGTCTACAAACTTTGCGTTACTTCTGATTTTTTTTCCCCCTTACTCAGAGCCATATTTCTCATTATTTTAATTCATCTGTGTAGTATAACTACAGCATTTGCAAGCTTTTATTTTGTCAAAGCTTAACTCTATGTTAGTACAGTCACAGTTTTTTTGGTCTTTCTTCAGTGCCAGTGCTTGTCACAGGTGTTTAACCATTTCTTTGAACATGATGATTTGAGACATGCTGCTCTAAAGAAGAGTCAGATAAATATTTCTGTTAAATTTCAAGTGGTGATATATGGGTGATAAGGCAGGAAAACACTACTTCCAAAGGGTATTTCTACTGTTTTCCATGCAGTCTGCAAATAAGAGCAGTAGCTGCCTATTAATATTGGTAAGATATTCTCATCAAGAGAAGTTTGTGTACTTTAAATTTAGTAAGTGTACACTGTGGATGAAGATTGGTTAGAGCACAGTAACTGCAGCAGTTATGAGTTACTCTTGTATGAGTAGTTGTTTTGGAAAAGGAGTCAAAGATTAAACTGCTTTGAAACATCTTTAAAGAGACTGCAGTAACATCTTGTGTGCATGTGGACTATGCATGCATAACTATATGCATCTTAATTGAAAATATTCAAGATACTAATGACCTGAACAAAGGTTACATGGTGCCTATTTCTAAGTAGAAATCATTAAGTTAAAACAGAGAATACATCAGACAGCAGATGTGAACCCAGACTTTTTTTTAATAGTGCTCAGGTATGATTTTGTTTGCCTGTTGTGTTATTAACCAATATAATTGTTCCTTAATTGAGTAGAAGCAAATTTTAGTTGTTTTAAATTGTTGTTTATTTCTTATTAAATTGCCTTTTTATATATTTATATATGTATTTATGTTTGCTAGAACAAAAAAAAATAAGTATTTGATGATGACTTTCAAAAAGAAAATATTTTCTTTCCATTCACACCTGATTTAAATTCAGTATGAAACAGTATGTATAGGCCACATACCTGTAATGGAATGCCATGTTGTGTACTAAATTTATTTCCACCTCATCAGTGCACTGCACGCTGACTGTGTGTTCTTAAACTTAGTAATGCAATGTTGTATACATGCATTTTCTTATGAAGCCTTGAAAAAACCCATATCCTGAGTCTCAAAAGCTTAATGCATTTTCTAACTTCAAAACTACGTGTGTCTCGGGGTTGTGATCTTTAAGGCATGAAGGTATGAATATACATCTAAATTGAAGGCATTATGGAGTCCCTGCTGGAGTCCCCCCACTCCCACCAGTGGATTCTTCCCTTGCCTCAGGAAATGGGTGTCTATATCCTGGCTTATTAGTACAAGTTCATACATTTTGAACAAGAAAGTTGGACTATATGATATCCCTTGGTGTTACATGTGGCATTTCACTCCTACCAATATGAGATGTTTTATAAAGCATCCTCTGTGATGCTGAATCTTGTCAGGAACTCTTCTGGCAAGTAGTAGAGCAGTGTTCAGACTGTGCTTCTGCTGTTACTTCCATCTGTCTTTATTTTCATTAGTAAAGAGTTCTGTTTCTTTCTCTTTTTTTCCTCAGTCAAGAGTGCAAGTCCTGCACTAGAAAAGAAAACAGCTAGTTTACATTTAGGCCAGTGGATGCTTCATAGAATTAGTTTAAAAACAGAAAATATTCTAAGAGATATAGGAAGTGTTAGGAAAGTCCCTGAATACAGAGAAATCTAGAAATATGTGGAAGAATGGGAAATTTGTTCACTGAATCTTGTAGATAAATTCATTTAACTGAAGGCAAAACAAGCTGGAAAACAAAAAAGGCAGTATTTTGCATCATTTTGGTACGTATATAATAGGTGAATTTTATCTTAGAATGTTACCTTTATTTTAATAGAATATCTCTGAAAAATATTTAACTGTATCTACTTTACTACTTGTTAGCTTCAGCTGTTTGAAAAGATAGACCGTCCCTGGTCCAATTGAAGCAACTTTTGAAAGTGAAAATAGTGCTTTGAAAGCAGGAAAGCTACCTCATTAAGGGCTAGATGTTAAACAGGTGCAGAAGTTGGAGCGGTTTATGTTTATGGCCTTTTCCCCGAGTTCCTCTCAAACACAATTGAAAAAGTTGAGAAAATATTTGACAGGTATTGTGGTGATGCAGCATCTGTATCTGAAGCTAAGAAAGCTATTCTTTCCAACATGTAGATTGCAGTGGTGGTTTGGTTTTGCTTATGATTGACCAACACATAAGCAATACCCAGCTTCAAGTCTCAGGGACCAAATTAAACTCTTTAAATCTTTTTGGTCAAGAAAGATAGCAGAGCTCTAGTGAATAATTATGCTCAAAGAAATTAACTTTAGACTAAAATGATGTGTTCTCTGATGCACAAAAGATACTAAATTTTTTTTGAGATTTGAGTATTAAGCTATTGCTGTGGATGCAGTTGATTGGCTATGTATGAAGACAGTGGAATTGTAATTCCTAATTAAATTACAATTAATAGTCCTAATGCATACTTTGCACTAGAACAAGGTAGTGCATGGCACACCCATATTTATGGGCTTTTATGGCATTGTGTATATATTTTTCAAATGAACTTTAGGAATTCTGATTAATAGAAAAGTTACCATGTATGGGATGAAAATGTTAAATTGTCTTTTATTGAGTTATCATAGTAAAATACTGCATAGTCTTTATATTTTTATTCAGAAACATTATTTTTAAAAATGCAGATAACATATGAGAATGTCAAGAAAAAAAATGCAGGGTAATCCACTAATTTCTTACAAGTGTGTTCCTAAAATTCTGCCTAAGCCTGATAGCCAGTAGACTGCATGAAAATTTCTGAAGAAGAGATGAAGGCTAAAAATGAAAGTAGAGGGAATATTGATTTTCCCCTTCCTATTACTTCTAGTACAACTTGAAATGGATCCATTCTGTTTGTTTTTCCACATGACTTTGAAACATGTTATTAATATAAAGCCCACAATTTATAAGAGATTTTAAGTGTCTTAGATGGAGTTGGCTCTAACTCAGATGACACTTACAAGCCCAAGGCAGTGCTTAACCCATAATTACTGCAATGTCACATCTTGGAAACTCTAGCAGTTCTCTATCCCAGTGGAAATGGTTTTTTGCCCCAGTACCAAAAGGCTTATGTGTTGACTCACTTCCTTTACCAATATGACAGTTTCCTCCACATATTTACTGCTCTGAGCAAGTTTATGTTATGTTAACAAATCTGTCTTCATATAACTTGAACAAATCTGAACGTATTTTAAAAGGAATTTCAAGTTTTAAGTGGTTCTTATAAGTAGTTAAAATACTTTTGTTTGCCTTTCATTAAGGCAATGTTTGTTTGCAGACCTTTAATTTTCAACCTTTAAAATAATTCTTTGCTAATAGCTCTGAATTCTATTTGCTTCTTAACTTTTGTATTTACTGCATGTATTATTGCACTGAATGTTTGCAGAATTTCCCTTAACTGATGTTGCATTGCCTTGTTTCTTGTGAACAATGAAATAACTATAAGCTTGCTGTAACTCTAGAATTTCATAGTGTATATTTGCTTCACTAATCTCTGGCCTTTTTTGCTAATGCTGCATGATTGTTCAACCTGGGGTACCAGGACGCTGCATTGGGATACTGATCCATCAGTTCTTCAGCTCCACTCTGATTCCGATCTGGGGTATTGCATAGATTTCTTATATTCCCTCTTTCATGTGCTTATGGATAATAAGTATGAGCATTTTTTCCTTAAAGACTTGTAGTTGTTGTTGTTAAGAAACTGTTTTGTAAGTAATAGAAATTCGCTGTCCCTAGCACAGTTTGCTTGCATTGAGAATTTTTTATATCATTTAATATACATTAGATGCTTATTTCTAATAAACACAAATAAGTTTTGTTTTCTTAGAGTCTTTCTTTGACAAAATACAAACTTTAAGGAGTTACTTATTTAAAATAAAAAGGTTATAGCATGACTGTAAATACAGAGCAACTCCCATCTTTTCTTAGAAATATGTTTATAAAAGCTGTAGCTCATTATAAACACTAAGTAAAACCTGTATTGCATGCTAAAAATTATGATTCTGCCCACCAAAATCTTTCAAAAGGAGTTACTCTTCTGCTTTTATCTTGGGAGAGGAATGGATAATAAGAAACTAAATCTGATCTAGGTAAATTGTTGGATCATTGCAGTATTATTACAGTACATACTGCAATTAGGTTTTACAGAAGGCTACAGTGGCTGAATTAATGTTGTGGAGGTATGATGTTAGCTATAGCTACCTTTAATAAAGTCAGAAAGCTCAGAGGTTTTCAGTATTGTGCTCTGAAACAATGTATTACGAATAAATCATTTGTCAGTGTGAGTTCCTGGTCAGCCTGACAGCTCTGCATTCCAGAGAGTACTTTAGAGGTGGACTAAAAAGAGCAGCAAAGTAAAAGACTAGGAAATGCTTTTTCCATCAGCATAACTAAATTGGTTTTCAAGCTTTATAATTCTGGAACTGTTGCTGTACAAGCATGACTTGTGAGTAGATCTGTACCTTTAATAATACAGATGTATCATATAGGTGGCAGTATTCTGGTCAAGCACAAAGGGCAAAAATCCAAAATTATATCATAATGTCCAGATATTTATATGTGTACATCGTCCTTTTTGTCACAGATCTATAAATGGTTGCTGATTTTAAATAATAATGATAAAATAGTAGTCGTAATCATGTGACTTGTTCAAAGTTTCCACTGGATTTAAGTTTGACTAGGCAGTGCTGTGACATAATGACTTGGATATTCTAGGAAAAATGTGAAATAATATTTATTTTTATTTTTATTTTAAAATTAATTTTATTTAGACGTGGACCTGTTAAACTTGGAATGGCCAAAATTACACAAGTTGACTTTCCTCCTCGAGAAATCGTTACCTACACAAAGGAGACGCAGACACCTGTTATGACTCAGCCCAAGGAAGGTGAATGGTTAATTTATTACTCTTGAGTTATTTTTGGTTTCTTTTAATATAATAATGATGACCACCAGCAATTAACCCCCCCTACTTCATAAGAATTTAAATTTTTATACCTGAAGCTTTTACTTTGAGTTTTAAAAGAAGGAACTAAGTTACTTATAACTTAAGCAGTTTCTGTTTTCAGCAATTGAACACAGGCTTTCTTTCAGTCATAACTTGTTTGCTTTTCAAAAAATAACTTTTTACAACAACATTTACAAAAATGTGGTTGGCTAGCAGATTTCCTTTTCAATGATGAAACACCTGAATTTATCTGCAAATGAAAGTATTAGTCCAGAACTAGATTGTGTGTATTTCTACAACAAAGTCTCTTGGTTGTTTAATATCACTGACTTTGAGTATGTGTCTATGTTAGCAATTTTAGGTCCTACTTCTACATTCATAATTTTGCATTTTCCTGCTCTTTGGTATACAGACTTTTGGGTATTTATGCAAGGATGTATCTTTCAAACTGAATTGCTCAGTGAGCCAGAGGATATGATTTTTCTCTAACTGTGTTTCTTTTCTATTCTATTCTTCATTTTATCTGTATACCTGCACAGGTAGGTGTTTGTGCTTTTCCTGCTTTCATTTCTCCCATGCCCTCAACATTTCCTTTCTCTAATCCCTCAGGTCTTTTTTCCTCCCCTCTGTCAGGTTCATGGAATCTGAAGACTTAGGTCACAGTTTATGTACTTGAAGAGTTCTACTTCTGCTGCCTGCTGACAGTGGAAATTGCTTGGGATTGTATGATCTGAGTTTCACAGTAGATAGGCTTTAGTTGAGGCTTGCTGTAGTGGAGTGGAACAGTGGTCATCTCTATTTCTGCATTTACCAGAAAGCAGTCTCAATGCATGTATTGTCTCCTGATCCATTCCATCTTACAAATACCGATTTCTTGAGCCCCGTCATAATTTTTTTCAATATATTTATTTCATGTGCTTCACAAAATTCACGGGTGTCTTTTCAACATTTCAGTGAAGATCTTTTTAAGGTTTATCTCAAGACCACCTGAATACATTAATAACAAATCTCTAAGTTCCCATATTACAATGATATCTGAAATAGGATGTAGGTTTAAAAAAAAAAAAGAATAAATCATGCTGCATACAAAAACCGGAGTCACTAGGTAAGAGATTTTTCTTGGTAAAAGAATTTAAAACTCTTGAAAACAATTGACAAAAGCAATATGCTGAATTTATGGGATGCAATTAGATAAATCTAAATTCTGTAAAATGTATCTTACTGATTCTTATTTCTTCTCACAGTCTGAGTTGTGCTTATCTGTAAAAAAAACTAACCTAGCGAAGTATACTTGAAAGGGGAGCTTGCAACTGAACTTACACCTGCAGTAGCTCCCTTATCCAGCAGCAAGTTGCATCTGAGCTGGGTTGGCTCAGCATTCACAGCTTCCTATAAAGTGGGCATTTCATAATATATTTTGAGATTTTAAAATGCTGTTGGAGCTGTGCTCTTGAATAAGGAAAATAGCAGTTTTATTAGATTGTGTTAACACTTGGTTTGGTGGGGAGGGACAGCACATGAAATAAAATTAACAAACCCACAGCAAATCACTAAATAGTTCTTCTTGTTCCACTTTGGTGTGCTACAGTGGTTATGTAGTTCCATCGTAAGCTGAGTTAAGAAACATTCAAAGCAGTCTGCCTGGTGGACAGATAGGAAGTAGAAGTAAACTAGTTTTAGATAAAAACCATTTCTAGTTGTTATGGAAATATTTGTGGCAACACACATAATACCAAGTGAGTTAAATAGGAGAGACTTCATGTCTTCAAATAAGACTTGGCATTTTGAAATGCCTGTTTTGGAGTCCTGTAACAGTTAAATTAATTTTGAAATGTGGCAGCTTCCTTAGGACATGAAGGCATTTAGTGTTCTAACAGTTTTCACAACTTCCATTATTTCATTGCAGTACTAATATGTTGATTTATTATGACTTCAAAGTATTTGAGAAACTGCCTTAGGAAGATTGATTCTTAAATATTATAAAACAATAAAATCAGAATGTCTCCTAGGAATCAGTTAATCCAAAGAAAGATGTGTGTATAGGGGAATATGATTTTGCTCAGTTGTCACAATTAAGGCTTTCCAGGACTAACTGGGTACTTGCTACTTAGTGCTGCTGTACAATACTGTGCATGTGCAGTTGCAGCTGACTGCAGACAGTGTTATTGCATTTATTTCACTCTTTGAGGAATAATTGTCTGCTAACATCTCCTGGACACAGAATTAAAATATTAAGCAGAGTAATAAAAATAGGATGCATAGGATTTGCTTCTTGGATGCTGGTACAGTGAATGCAGGATTTATACATTTTAATACTTTTTAAGAAATAACAAGGATCATGTATGATCTTTGTGGGTCCCTTCCAACTCAGAACATTCTGTGATTGTACATGCCTTAAATGTACAGAAATACAGATAGGGAACTTGATGTGAAGACATTTGGCTTAACAAAAGCCACCCATTTCACAGATGATTTAACTTTGATTAACCTTCTCTGCAGCAACAGATTGCTCAGACAACTGGAACTACACTCTACAGTGTTATTGCTAGGTGCAGCCTAATTTACAGCACTGTTTTTCCTTCTGTCTTGCCAAAATATATCACAATTTTTATGTTAACTCAAAGTAAAAATTCAGTGGTTCATTAGATCTGTTTTTAGCATTCATTGGCAAGACATTTGTTGCTATTAAAGTTTGCATAGAAATAGCAGCTACTTTACTGCTCAGTTTGTAACCTTAGATCCCCTGATTGCCTGTCAGAAACAACATGGAGTTAATCCCTTAGCATATTATAATGAATATTCATTGATATGTTGATGTGACATATGGTTCCATTTCCTGTCTTCATGGCCCTGGGACTTTTCCAAGTCTTTGCAGCTTTTTTTTTTTTTAATCTGAAATCATATTTGGTACACTGACAATTGAAGTAGCTTAAAATGCCAGTAGGTACAGTCAATAATGAGTAATAAGGGGGGGATGCAGTTAGGGAGTGCCCTTAAGGTTTCAAATTTAGGTAGCTGACTTGAGATAAATGCAGTGCATGATGGTATTGTGGGTTCTTGACTTACTAGACTGGGACTTTTTCAGAAATAGTATGTCCAGTGCTTCTGTGTTTGCTGGGTGCTCTGTTACTGTTATGCTAATTCCTTGCAAATTCTGGCATCTGGTCTGCTATTAAATAAATTCAAGATGAAGGTGAGACCAGAAAAGTAATTAAAACAAACATTACTTACCTCATTTTTCAGTCCAGCCGCTTAATGGTACCTTTTTTGTGAACTGTGAGAAAGATTCCTGGGTTTGGAATAGAAAGCATTCTAGTTTTAGATAATTAGGTAAAAAACTTGTATATTTGGCTATTTTTTTTATTTTGTCTTTTTTTTCTCTCCAGATCCCTTAATAAGAAAGTTTGCATGTGACTCTTCTTTAGAGAGAAGGTTTTAGATTTATGCAGTTGCAAATAAATCAGTGAGATGACATGTTCAATTTCAAGTCTGATACTTTGAGAATATTAAAATAAGTGCTGTATCCTGCATTTAAATACAGTAATATCAGCTGGCTGTATGCAGTAAAACTACTATGAAGGAATTTAGAGCTCTGTATAATATATGCCATTTATGTTTCAAACATTAAAAGGCAAGAGCAATCAACTTACATGATCTTTTGAATAAAATATGTAGATTAGAAGGTCATATAGCACTAAGGGGTTGACCATCCACGTTTGACAAGAATTTGACTCCTGTCACTGAAAATGGTACTTAGAATCAGTGTAGTATGACTAATGGGGGGTTGGGCTGAAATTCCTAATTTGGGACGTTCAAAGCTAGACTAATGTATCCAGAGTGACCCAGAACCAAATTTCTAAATTTGAAGGCATCATTTAATTCTGCAAGATTGATTGGCAGGGCGAAAAAGAGGGGGAGTTTTATCAAAGTGGCCGTAATTTGAATATGTGATCCTGTATGTGTTGTTATCAAAGTCATGTGTGTTAACTCATATTACATTTTTTAATTAATCATTGTTCACACCTGTAGCTATTTGACATTAAGAATTCCCTTCTTTAAAATGGCCACAAGTTATCCAGTTTTCAGGTTAGGAGTCCGCTGTGCATGCGAATCCATCGAGAAAGGAGCAGTGTCTTTCTGTTTCTTTGCGTGATTATTTTGCCCAAAAAAGCTTTCATTTTTTTTAAGTAGCACAAAAGCTGTAATTGGCATGCTTTGTAAGGAAGTGTCAATGTGCAAGAGAGTGGAGATCACTAAGAATTCTTTTACGGGTTCTTTCCCCTTTGCACCACCGCCTCCTCAGCAGGGTCACTGAGATCACTAGCTTTTCTTGAAATGGCCATTTTCACTGGCAGGTGCATTATACCCTGTATTTTCAGATTGTTTTTCCATTCTGAATGTTTGGCAGGTTGATTGCTCTGGCTGCATTGACGGAGAAAGGGCTGACAAATGCAGTTGGGCTGGCTGAAAAGACAGTGATTACTGTTTTCCTTTGTGGCTGATTGAGGCCCTTGAAAGGAAAGATTTTAACCTTCACCATTTGGTTCAAAAGTATGAGCATATATTGAAATCATTCATGCCATTTATCCTAGTTCTGTAAACTTGTCAGAACATAAAAATCGCTCAATTTCAAGTAATGTAGGATTGGCATACGTCATTATCATTTTGATTAAGTTGGAGTTTGTATTATTGTGTGCATTATACAGTGTCATTTAAAGCTTTCTTTCCTGCAGGTACAGTTATATTTTTATTGCCTATACTATGGAGTTAGAAAGATTTTCAGACCTCTTTAAACCTATCACTATGTGTGTGGTTTGGCAGCTGGTATGGCCTACAAGCTGTATTTTGTTTGCAGGGTAAAGGCTTGTCTGTAGACCTCCTGGAGTGCTGGTAATTGCGCAGGCTTGCCATTGGGGAAAGACATGATTGGAAGCAGTCAGGCAGAAAAATGTTGTGCCATCCCATTGCCACCTCATAGCAGAGAGACAATCCTTGCAGTACCATCTGGTTGTTGCTATCTAGTCAGCTGGCCTGGCTGCTGGGACCATGGCTTGGCAGCTGGTTCCCATCCCTTGACCACTCCTTTTTTTTTACTCTTTTTGTGTGTATGCATATGGATTTTTTATTTTTTTTTTTTTTACTTTTTGTGTTAGATAACTTTGAACATGGGTCGGGGAGATGGCTGCAACAAACAAGCCTAGTCCCTGTTGAATACTGTCTCATTACTTGTGATGAGGCAGGCAGCAGTCTCCTGCTGCCATTCCCCTATAAGAAGATGACGTAGCTGTTTAACCTATAAAAACAAGTCTTTTCAAAAGCTTATTCTAGAAAGTGGATGAAGAAAAGCCAGCATATCCCACAATTCTAAGTAATTTCAAGGTATTTTCTGGTTTACAGTATTCAAAGAATAAAATGTGGAAATGCAGAAAGTGCTGTAAGCCTTGTCAGTATTCCTGAGCATTAACATTTTATGTTATTCATTGCAATTAGGGAAAACACATTTTCCTGTAAAGTTCTCATTGCCAAACATGATACAGATAATGAGACTTGCATCTAGAATGACAGAAAAAATGTAATCTCTCTGCTATTATCTTTAGCAAAATTTGCCTCTCAGAATAGCAACCTGAAAGCTAATGTAAGCCATCTTCATGCCATGTGCAGACCCATTAGACTGATGCTTTCAGATCATAAGTAAGCAGCTGCTCTGTAGACTATTTTAGACATCTGATTTTTCTTTATTCCACAGCATTAATGTGTCAGTGTGTTACACAGAACGTGAATCCACCGCATGGTTCTGTGTGGAATCATAAATGCCTGTAAGACAGATTTCCACTTTGGATTCTTTACAATTTCCTGTGTGTCTTACTTCTGTTTATGCAGTTACATAACTCAGTGCAACTGATACCCAGGTGGAGACAGTGTTCCAATGATATTTTGGTTTGTGATAATGTTATCCTTGGCACTACATTTCACAAATGCAACCATTTTAAGCTACATGATATCATTTTATATCAGCTTATTGAGATTCATATACAATGTTACTGTCCCCCTTTAGAAACACTGACGGTCTCACCATGTTTCTCCTTAGATGAGGAAGAGGAAGATGATGTGGTTGCACCAAAACCATCAGTTGAACCTGAGGAAGAAAAAACATTAAAAAAAGAGGAGGAGGAAGAAGGTACTGTTCACCTCAAGACATTCTGAGTGTGCTGTAAAGAAAGCCATCCATACATTTTTTAACTTCTTGTTTCATTAATTTAAAATTAATTTAATTGTTAAATACTAATGAGCCAGAAAACCATAAAATGCAAAAACTATTAAAAATCATGATAAATACTGCTTTTCTTTCATGATTGGTGAAAGCATGCAGTCCATAAAATGTCTGTATAAATTTATTTCAGCTGCCCCTCATGAGCTCACAGAGGAGGAAAAGCAACAAATTTTGCATTCGGAAGAATTTTTAAGTTTTTTTGACCACTCCACAAGGATTGTTGAAAGAGCCCTTTCTGAGCAAATCAACATTTTCTTTGACTACAGTGGAAGAGACTTAGAGGACAAAGAAGGGTAATGTGAATGTTAAATACTTTTCTGTGAATTTCCAATACTTTTAATTGAAAAAGTGATCTAAGATTAATGTCTCCTAATTGTCTTTATAGAGAGATTCAAGCAGGAGCAAAACTGTCCTTAAATAGGCAGTTTTTTGATGAACGTTGGTCAAAGCATCGTGTTGTCAGTTGTCTGGACTGGTCATCTCAGGTAAAAAATAATGTTTCAAGTAAAGAGTTGACTTTGTAAATTGTTGTAGATCTGTGCATTTGATTCCCATAAAAGCACAGTTGATACAGGCTGTATTTCTAAATGTGTTTCTTATGTGCTCCATGGTTTGAAAAAAGTAAACAGAGCTCTTAATATTTTATGAAAGGTAGCAAAAGGTTTGTATTGTGAAGAAAGTTGGTTTTGGTTTATGAACTGTTTTGTGGAGATAACTCAGCTTCACTAAAAAGAAAACTCACTTAAAAGTCATGGGTTTTAGAGTTAAAAGAAAGTTATGATGAGAGAGCAAGACTAAATGTGTATGCTAATGCTGGTTTAGGAGCTAAATTAGCAACAATTGCAGTTTTAACTAACTATTTTTCATGCCTTTATAATGCAAGGTGTTTTTTTAACCCTATTTTGGCAAAAGAAAACAAAGATTCTAGGATTATCTGGACCATTAGCCAGTCATCTTGCTTATTTGAGTCTCTTTCACTTACCATGCAGTATCCAGAATTACTTGTAGCCTCTTACAACAACAATGAGGATGCACCTCACGAGCCTGATGGGGTGGCCCTTGTATGGAATATGAAGTACAAGAAAACTACCCCAGAGTATGTCTTTCACTGCCAGGTATGATTCTCTCTTGCGAGGAATTTTATGTTGATGAATTTGTACGCACTTTCCTTATCTTTGTCAATATAATAATTTAATTGGGCTGGCATTTGCTTTAACCACATTTATTTGCCAACAGATGTTGATAGCTAGAGACTTCAGCTGAGAAATACTATTCTGTTTCAGAATTTCTGACATCATTCAGAATTCAGTCTTGTTTGAGAGCTTCTTTTCCTTTTTTTTACTTAAAAAACAGGAAAACTTTCTTGTGTACTGGTTGAACCACAAAGGTTTGTATGTAAGGGGCTTCAGTGAGATTGTATACTACAGCTTAGTTTACTGAATAAAATGAAGACAGCCTGAGGAAATGGCACGAGGATGAAAGCTAGAGACATATGCATCAAAAAAAAAGGCAGATAGAGGTTTTCCAGTAGTTTTCTGAAAGATAAAAACATGCAAATCTCTTCCATTATGCCAAGCCCATGATACCCACATTTTTCCCATCATTTTGGAAAATTACACAGTTGAATCAAAATTTAACCTCATGTTGTCACATTACTGTCAAAGACCAGATTGCAAAAGTAACTCTGTTATATCAAAATGTATTTCTATATTCTCTAAGAAGTAACGACTACAGAATGTGGCAAAACATTATTAAAATTTTGTGTTTTATTGGGCTTTCCTTTGCTAATAAACTATGCTAGGAGGAATAGATGTATGAGTGTGAAAGAAAAGAGGAGCACAATTTCATTTTATAAATTGAAGCAAAAAGACTATTGAGGGGTTACAAAGGGTGGGTGAATCCTTAAGTAACTGGGCAGTGAAATCATGTGCTGAATAAATTTAGGCAAAGAAGTTTTTCTGATATTTGGCCTCATTTCCTTTAGTTTTAGACATAGTGTCACTGAATGATAGTTCAGTGTTTGGTGATGTTTTTCTTCCTTTCAGTCGGCAGTGATGTCAGCTACATTTGCAAAATTTCATCCCAATCTGGTGGTTGGTGGCACATACTCGGGCCAGATAGTGCTGTGGGATAATCGCAGCAATAAGAGAACCCCAGTGCAGAGAACACCACTTTCAGCTGCTGCTCACACGGTAGGAGGTGAAATATCTTCAAGGACTGTGCCCTGTTGAGATGTGTTTAATGTCTAGTAAATTCTGTCCAGTGCACTTGATATTGGCAGTGCTTAAATGTTTATGTCTATATTTTGACACTTAGGAACCAGGCTATTCATAAAAACCAGAGTGTCAGAAAAAACAAGTATCAGTTTTATAGGGGAATATAATTTGTACTTTTGATTGGGATTGATCTTTTGTGCTTTGTTAAATGGTGAAGTTGTATATTTTACTGTACATTAATTATATCAGAACTGGCTGTTACATCTAAATTATTTTCTGATAATACTTTGTTTTTTAGCACCCAGTCTACTGTGTAAATGTTGTTGGGACCCAGAATGCTCATAATTTGATTAGTATCTCAACTGATGGGAAAATATGCTCTTGGAGTCTGGATATGCTTTCCCAACCACAGGTAAAATAACTTTTGAGATATATATATATATATATATAGATATATATATAGATATATATGTATATATAGTATCTATTCTAGATTAATATTCTGTTAAAAGTTCAGCTGATCTAATAAGCATTAATCAACATTTTCCCAACACATAGAATTAAGGTAGCTTGATATTTGATAAAATATTTCCCCAGCTGTGGAATCAAATATTTTCTGTTGTTTCTTTTGTATAGTTTTGGTGTACTTGTGTTAGTGGTGAACACAAATGTAGTAAGAAAACTTCCTTATTACTGTCCAACCTAACCAAGTAAAATAAAAAGAAATCCCTTCTGTTGTAAAATCTGAAAGATTTTTTTAGATGTAAATAATTCTTTTTATAAAGTAAGTTACTGATATTTTCACTACAGGATAGCATGGAGCTGGTTCACAAACAGTCCAAGGCTGTGGCTGTTACCTGCATGTCTTTCCCTATTGGAGATGTCAACAACTTTGTTGTTGGCAGTGAAGAAGGCTCAGTGTACACTGCATGCCGTCATGGCAGGTGAATACAAACTTTAATTCTTCAAAGGAAATAAAAATAGTGAAAGGATGAGTTGCTGAATGCTTTACACTCAAAATTTTTGAAGTTCGTACTTTATCCTTTGCACTGAAGAAGTTCAGAGTATCTCTGTCTGAATTTCAGTGCATTTTTTCCTGAGTAAGAGCTTCATTAAAAATCAAAATGGTTGGAATTCTGAATTGGTATTATGAGTTGTGTCGAGGGCAGCATAGGTCACTGTGGTTTTATTCATTTGAATTGTAGCAGAACATTCCAAACTTCGTATCAGTTTTGTAGATAATTGTACAGTAACATCACGCACAAATCTTAAATTGGCTAGCTGTTCTCCTGCTGTTCAATCTATTTTGAAATTGTCTGACTGTATCTTATCAATTGCTTTCTTAAATATAATTGAGTGTCCAGGTTTCATCTCAAATACACATCACCTTGCTGCACAGCTTTTTTGGTTCCAAAGTACCCAAAATTGTATCACTTTTGTGTAACATCCTTCCCATCTGTTTCCCTTCTTTTTCATCACCCCTGATAGGAGGCTATTAGGGATATATTGTTACTGGTTTATGTCTGAACCTCACGCCCTTGAAGTATATGCAACTTCTCTTAATTTAATGGGAGTTTTAGGCTTATTCCTGAGACTGAATTTTGTTGTTTGTATGAATTGAAGTTGTAGTTATTGCTTGGAGCACAATGTAGTTAAATATGTGGACTGGTACCTGAATTAGTCTCCTGTCCCTAGGATATTTTGGCACTTATAGTTAGTAGAAAATACATGTTGAACTTAAGGTTTTCAAGCCTGGTCTTCTGTGATCCTGCTGTGGTGAAGCCTTTTGCAGTGGGGTAATATCCATATAAGGCAGCAAAATCTTGTGGCTGTATTTAAATTGCATTTCAGTGCTATCTCTGTCTGCAGATGTTTGGTTGCCAAATCAATTAACCTTGGTTGTATATTCTGAAACAGCAAAGCTGGAATCAGTGAGATGTTTGAAGGACACCAGGGACCAATCACTGGTATCAACTGCCATGCAGCAGTTGGACCTGTAGACTTCTCACATCTTTTTGTCACCTCTTCTTTTGACTGGACAGTAAAGCTTTGGACAACGAAGGTAACTTAGATAGTTCAGTGGTTTTTTTCATAGCCCTTGACACAAGGTGGTGCTATAATGTAAGCTACTTAAGGAAGTTCATGAACCTGAAGTCAAATTGTGTGAAGTTGTGGGCTTCTTAGCTGCAGTCCTGCAAAGAGGAGACAGCTGATGTGCAGAACTAAGATTAACAGCATAAAACTTTGCTTTCAGCTTGTATATAATTTGTATATTTCTGATCCATTCTTTTCAACCTTTTGCCCTTTGTTATCAACAATGATTACAATATAATCAAATGTAAATCATGTTATAAAGTCAATTACCTCATATATTCATAAGGCAAATGTTTTGCTACAATTTTGTGGAGAACTAAGGGATGGCACCAAAACTAATGTCAATTAAACTTGATGAGGCTCACAATTGATATATATGTCATTTCCATTGCCAGAATAACTTCTTTCACTATTAGACTGATGCCCTGAGAAATGCAAAGCAGAGGAAGCAGATTTAAAATCTCTGAGTAATAGTCACTGAATTATCATTAGCTAGATTTACAAGATTATTAAAGCATTAAATTTACAATTTACAATTGGCTTGCTATTGACTGTTTTATAATAGCAGCCTATAGAGTTCATGCTTTGGAAAGCATATCTTTAATGATAAAAAGCATTAGATTTTGACTGATTTTTGCAGTGGCATTTTTTTAAAGCAAGTCAAAATGCAAATCACTTTTTACTCATTGCTGGTAATACTGTTGAAGTTCTGTATTTTGCTTTACCTGTTCATTTTATAATTTTGAAATGTAGGGTTTGGTTATTACATTGTTGTCTTTGCTTCTTTTCAGAATAACAAACCTCTCTACTCCTTTGAAGATAATTCAGATTATGTTTATGATGTGATGTGGTCTCCAACTCACCCTGCCTTGTTTGCCTGTGTGGATGGGATGGGCAGGCTTGACCTGTGGAACCTCAACAATGATACTGAGGTGAGAAGTCAGGTTAATGGTCAAATGCAGCTGGAAAATTGTGTATACAAAATAGAAAAATTTGGGTGTTTACCACAGTTTTGCATTTTTTTTTTACCATAGCTTATTTTTTTGGTTTTTTTTGTTTTAAAATATGCTGTAGTTCCAGTAGTTTCTGTGTAGTAGATAGCATTCTTTGATTACAGGGTTACAAATGACTCCCATTAATGAATAACAGAAGTAATTAAATTCTTTTACCTATAACAAGAGAGACGAAAACATCTGTTGGTGTAACACTGATCCATGTTGTGAAAGTGATTATAGACCTCCCACCCTGAGGCCTTGTCAGCCTACAGCTTAACAGTGTGAACAAAGCTGTTACCACACACCACCGCTGTTCCTATTGCCACAGTAATACTGCAGTGAAAGTGCCATTTGTTTCTAACTTAGTGAACTGAATGTTTGGTTTTCTGGTGTGAGTTATAAACTTCATTATAGCAGAAACCTTTTCCAAGATTTGCTGGAGGTAGATCAGAGGAGAAGCCTGACAGATACTTAGAACTTAAATTTCACCATCTGAAAAGTACATATAGAAGAAAGTTGTAGGACCATATGCCAGCCTGTGTCTTTAAATTGGAATTACCTATTCTAGCCTTTTCGACAGGGCTTGACCTGCCAAAACAGCTGATTTCATCCCTGCCCTCTGTCATGATCTTCCTGAGATTCCAGGGTGCCTTGTCACTGCCTGAAAGCGTGTCTGTGCCTCCTGTCCCACAAGAAGAGTGCAGATGTGCCTTTCGATAGCAGATGTTTGGCCAAGGGACAGATGTGTTGTTTTGGTCATGTCACTGGGAATAGCTTAAGGCCACTGAGGTCTTTGTATTGTGAACAGACTTTGATCTGCATACCATGCAGTAGTTGAAGTGTTGGGCACTTTTGATGCAGCACAGATGGCCTAGATGTGTTCTGTCATCTCTAGTTTATGGAAACCTGATGCATTTTTAGCAGTATGTTTCATATTGGTACAGGTGCCCACTGCAAGCATCACCGTGGAGGGCAATCCTGCTCTGAACCGTGTGAGATGGACACATTCTGGGAGAGAGATTGCTGTAGGTGATTCAGAGGGACAAATAGTTATATATGACGTGGGAGAGGTATGTATGTCCTATATTGTGCAATGTATATTGCAAAACACTAGGGTTTCTTTATTTAGCAGTTTGCCTTTCACTTTTTTCTCTTGTCATTAGAGGAATAATAATTAGGTTTAATTTGTATTTTTTAATTAATACTTCCTAGTAGTGTTTTATTTATGGTGTTCTAGCATAAATTTTTAGCGTGCTGCCATCCAGTCAAAAAGAAAAAGCTTTACTGTAAGGCTGGTGAAATAAGAATCGATAGTTTTTTCATAGAAATTTTATGTTCTGTGTAACTGTGGCACATGTGAATTCTGATCCTAGCTTGAGAAGTACTGAACAATAAATTCTGCTGTGGAGCAGCCTTGATTTTATTCTTAGAGGGAAGCTGTTGCTATTGCAAGTATGTGTACTGCAATAGTACATGACTAATTGATGAGATGAGGATATAGCATTAGCATTCCCTTTGAAAGCAGTCTCTCAAGTGGAGATACATAGCACAAGCCTGAAATAATATCATTTTGTACTTCAATGCAGGAGTCTCAAATTCTGCTTCTTTTATTAGTTAGAGCTTTTGATGCTCACAGTAAATAACTAAAAGCTTATCTTCTGGAACCTCTTCTGAACATTAAGTGCTCTGCTGTTGAAAGTGAGCTCAGCTCTGTTTATCAGGAGGTTTCAGTAACACTCTCTGTGTCACAGCAAATCGCTGTTCCTCGTGGGGATGAGTGGACCCGGTTTGGCCGAACGCTGGCAGAAATCAACGCCAACAGAGCTGACGCAGAGGAGGAGGCTGCGACCCGCATCCCAGCGTAGAGCCTTCCAAACAGGCTGCAGGGCTACACTTGGCAATGATTGGATACAAATCCTAGAGTGTCAATTCTAATCATAGCTTAGGGGAGGAATATATGGATTCAACAATGGACTTTGAAATGTATTAAGATTAATGAAAATCAGATCTTGCGTTGTTATGTTTTATATAAATTACAAGCACATTCTGGGTTTGTGGAACTTTTAATACAGTTAACTTTGACTTTGCAAGGATCTTCTTTTGCTGAAACACTAACCTGGTATAAATTTGCTACTTGGTTTCTGTAAAGTCCAATCTGAAACAGTATCTTTCTGAAAAGTAAAAGTTCTGCTCCTAAAACTTTTTCTGTATTACAGACTAACCTTCATTAGGTAGAAAATCTCTGAAGCATTCTTCAATTTGAACTCTTCAAATTAGCCATCATATGCATGCATATGTTCTGAGTTTCATTATTTATATATAGATAAGCCTCAGACTCTGGTAGTGGGTAATATATGTGAATAAAAATTTGTCTGTAGTTACAAACTTATGTGGTAATCAGACCTGAATTAATGAATACATATTTAATACCCATTTCCTTTTGTTTGAACTGATAAAAAGGTGAGACTGATTCATAAATAAATACTATACAAGCACTTGTCAGCTGCCCTGACCAAACTAAACTACCTAATCTATGTAGTTTAAAGTTTCTGGGAGCTGATCCTTTTGTTTTGCTGCACACATCACAGGCTCGTTCTCTACCCCCAACCACCCCTTACTGCCATGGCAATTGGCCAGTACCAAAAAGGCTCCTGTTATCAAATTTTTCTTTTCCAAAGGATAAGGAACTAGACTTTAAGTTAATTTTTATAGCATGATGATTCTTACTCTGTTAACTACAGACTTGCTACTAATTTTCTGTACTAAGATGTTTATTATTATTTTTTAACATTTTTATTGAAACAAAATTTCTTAATGGCTTGAAACAGAAAGGTCAGACTTTCTGTTAAAGGTTAAAGTTTTCTATCAAGATGGGTTGCAGAGGGGCTGTTTCTTTTGGGTTGGTTTTTTTTTTTTTAAATAAATATGCAAGTTTTCCTAATTAGACACTAAATCAGTTATGTAGTATTTAACTTAGGACTCTATATTTGTTCTTAATCTGTGACAAGCTCATTGTTTTGCCAGAAGAGCTAGTTTTGTATGCTTAAAAATAGGAAATAGGTTTATATTCCTTAATTACTTTCATGTCCATTAATGTCATTGTTTCTTTGTTGTTAAACTTTTCTGTTTAGTTTTGAGGTCTTTTTTCCTCTTTCTCCTTGTCTTAGTTCTGTTATTATGAGCAGCTTGTAGAGACACAGCAGTTCTGTCTCAGAAAGTTCTCTTTATTGGTAGGTCTGGAAGTGAAATGTGTTTAGGCTTCCATTGGTGGAAGTGTGTGTCCTTCCCTTTTGAATGCAGCCATGCTGCTCGGTTTGCAGGCATTTATCCTGTGTGTTCTGCTCAACCCTACAACAGCAGCATGTGAACAGAGTAAGAACAGGCACATCATGAGATGGTTTGTACCTTGAAGCAAAAGAATTCTTAATAAGCACAAGGTCTCTTGGTTTGATGGTTTTGGAGGGAGGTGGTGCTTGGGCTTTTGGTTGGTTGTTCTTGTGGGTTTTTTATTGACATTACTTTTCATTGAGTAATACATTTCCCTCACACTTATTTTCAGAAATTCAGTAGAAAAGGCTTTCTTTCACACACATGCAGGTCATAGGCATTAGTTTTGTGTAGTTTCAACCTTCTAATAATTTTCAGTTATTAAATTTAATGCTACTTAATTCCTGCTTGTGGTCTTCTGGTCCTCCCTCACAGAATAGTTGACTACAACTTAAAAATGCTGTAAAAGCCATAGTTGCAATCTTGAGACCAAAAGTGATGCTAGATGTTGTAAATGAGGATTTTGGGAGCCAAACAATCCAGTTTTGGAGCTGCAAGAAATACAAATGCTGTGTGCATTGTCAAGTCTCCTAGGGCCTTGATCCTAAGGCAGTCAGCAAGCTGTGATTAAGACCAAATGCCATTTTTATCACTATTTAGAAAAGTGCAAGACAAATTTCATAGATACAGGAGCATTCCTAGAAGCCTGTCTCTATACAGAAACAGTACAGAACAAGAAATTCCTTAAACACAATACAACAAATAAAGAAGGAAGCCTTCTAATGTGCTTATCTATATTCATGTTGTAGACTAGTAATCAAACCTCCAAGATCAGTGTATTGTAACCTCTGGCTTACTAAATATTATTCAGCACCAGAATAATTTTTGTCTTCCTTAGAGGTTAGAGCTGGAGAAGGGCTGGACTGTTTAGTGTTCAGTTCTTAAGAGGCCATTTCTTCATAAACTGACTTAATCTCTGATGGGCCTGCTGTCACCTAAGGAAAAAAACAGAACCTGACATTGGTTTATACCACTTGGATACGCTCTATTCCAGGATGTTTAACCCTTTAAGAAACAAATAAAACTTCATTAAGCAAGGCTGGAAACCACCCATCTCATCTCTGGCTGCAATAACAGTGTGACTAATTTTCCTCCATGACAGCAGACATCTAAACTCCCATATTTCCCCTGACATTTTTGCATTTAAATTTTACATCAGGGAAACTTTTGGCAGACACTAGGCCATAAATAGTTCAAGCTTTCACTTTCTCTTCTCCTTTTACTTCCACTCACCTGTAAACATAAACAATCAGTTTTGCATATAAAAATAATACAAAAGTAGGTTTTTTTCCCCCCACACAGAATAACCTAATCTCATGGTAAAACAATCTAGAAATAAAGAGAATGCTTTCATTTTTTTATAGCAAGTTTTCTATTCTGGAAAAAAAGGCACTCTGTCTAAGAAACCCTGTAAAAATTCTTGAGTGCTAGTAACTGGCAAGTCTCTCACTGTGTTTTGAATATGCTATCATAGAAGTAATATCAATTACACATTTAGTATTGCCATCTATTCTGAGAGAATTCTTTGTCACAAAGTAGTGCTGCAAAATAAAATATTGCATGTGCTCATCTAATTACTGTGTTCTCTAACACAAGCCAGCACATTGCATTTCAATTCCTTCGCTGTAACTAGCAGCAAAGGGCATTCCTGCAGAGGTCCTGTCCTGTCCATTCATTACATGGCTGCATCTGATCTTCACATTTCCTCTGTGGAGGGCAAAACAATCATACTGGACAACTTCCTGTAAATTCAAAGAAGCAAACGGACGCAAGCGTTTTTAAACATTTTATTGTCACGATTGTTAACAAAACACTTTCAAAACATCTGTACATTTCAAACTATTCTGAACTGCAATACCCATTATATAAATGTACGTGTATAGATGCCCTGATGTCTCTGTACAAAGATGTACAATATGTACAGTAACACTAAATGCAAGCTGTGCAAGGCAATGTCTAGGCTATAGCTTCATGCCACTGGTTAAAACAAGGCAGAGAACCACAGCTTCAATCAGTTCCTTGTGTGTAAATAAATAAATGCAGGTATGTATGAGTATTTGAAAGAAGCAATTAGATTTGCAAGCTCAGTTCAGCTAGAACACATGCAGCTGACTGGAAAAAAATACACCAGTACTCTTGTGAACTCTTTCCACTTCATCACTTTGTTCATTTGAAACATCTTTTCAGGACTCAGCTGCTACTGTGTGCTTGAGCTGAGGTGGTGGCAGGAGCTCGAAACTTTGGAAGATATAAACCAAATTTATTTTCTATACCAGCAAATGTAGCTGTAGCAAGTCTGTATCCTCCTATATGTGCAGGATTAACAGGAGGAAGATCTGAAATTCGTGTTTTTGGGGTAGATTCTGATCCAGTGGGTTTCCTGTTTGAACAAAGGCAAAAGGTCACTTTGTTAGTCTAGATTTCATAAGAAAGGACTTTAAATAGACTTATTCAGGCTTAAATACTTAAGTCCTTTGTCTGAATATGGAAGACTGTTAAAGCTGGCCTTAATTAATTGACTCCTATGGTGAAGTGAATGAGATCAGACCACTACTTCATTTTAAATAAAACCCAAAACTGAAGTTACATTTTTACTAATAATTTTTTAAAATTCTTTTTGATTCCAGTGTATTGAGGAAAATGGACAAAATTGTCTTGCTGCCATGGAAATACAAATTAGTGTACTGAAATAAATACAAAATGGCTCTTCATCTCCTCATCTGTTTAGAAGTGGCATGCAAGTTTCCCTCAATTATATAAGCATGGGGGAATTTTTTTGCATCCTACAATCTAAGTACAGGTGCTCAAAGTCTGTAAGTTTTAATGGCTCCCATGCATGAAAAAGTTTGGGATTTTTCTTTAAATTTAGCAGTTGTTTTGTTCAAGCTAAATAGCAAATACTTGACTTACAGGCCTCCAAAATCAACATATAACCATCTCTGCAGAAGTTCGTAAGTGACCAAAGTAACACCAAACTGGGGTGAAGATCTGAACACACGAGCTGTTAAATATTAAAAATCATAGTGTTAAATAAAACAATTCCTCAGGAGAGAAGCTAAACATTTTTAACGAGGTGCTAGGTTTTCCACTAGCAGACCTTGTAATCTGATTTCAGTCCTTAACAAAGCAAGTGCTAATTTGCAGATTTGGGGTCAGCCTTAATTTTTTTTCTCACCTCCAGCTCCCTTCCACAAAGCTGAAGGGCCTTCTTCCTTTAGAATCTTTCTGAAGCAGTCAATAACTCCACTGTATGTTGTCTGACCAGCGCGAGCTGCCACTTGCAGTCTTGTCTTGATGACATCAGCAGGGGTTACCAAAGAAGCAGCAGGCACACCTTTTAGAAGAAAACCACATTTAATTTGCACAAAGGATCTTGTAAAAGATAAAACACAACTGAAAAATACAAGTGCAAACTTCCATATTTTTTACAAGGGCTACACATTACAAAAAAATACAGGTTCTTACTCTTAATGCTCATAAAACTGTCATGCATGAGATAATAATTTGTCTTCTAAATTTAAAGGCTGAAACTGGTAGTAAAGGAAATAAACTATCAAAATCCATTCTCAGCATCTTCTAGTGGTCTGGCTGTAGTAGTAGTTTGAATCGAGACAGAATTGGCTATACATGTAATATTTAAAAATTAGTTGTGTAAATTTACTGTGTATGTTAATACTCTACAACATGTTTTGCAGATTACATAGATGATTGATTTGGCAATTGAATCCTATGCATCCATCTGTTAAAGGTGTTGATGAGAAAAACTACTGCTTAAAACCCCTGTTTTACAGAAATGTGTCTAAACAGCTGTTTGGACTGTTCTGTAGGAGAATAGATGCTGCTTACTTCAGTAGGCAAGCCATAAAAAGACTGAGGACAATGAAGGTGTTTTACAAGTCTGCTTAGTACCAACAGCGTGATATTAGCCAACAGTGATGGAAGAACAAATCTTCACTTCCAAGGCACCACTCTCGGCTTTCTAGTCAAAGGAAAGGAGAAAGTTTTCAGAAATGTACTCCACAGTATGTAACTGTGTTATCTGAGATATTTCTGAATACTTCTGAATACTATAAAAACTTCATCCCCCTAAAAAGAGGAAACATCTTCTGATTTAAAACCATGAAGTTAATTTTGACTTCTGTTAAACTTTTACAGTTGGTTAATATTG